ACAATTTGAGTTGAATTACTGAAATAAATGAACTTTTCCACGACATTCTAATTTATTGAGATGCACCTGTAATCCATAAAAAAAGTAACTGTAATCTGATAATGAGCATTTTAAAATATAATATAATCTAATTACAGGTACTTAATTTTTGTAATCTGATTGCGTAATCCAGATTACATTTAATCAATTACTTTCCAGCACTGATTATAGGTTGTAATTTAAATTAAATTGCTTATATACCTTCAGTGTAGTTACATTTTTGTTAATAGCATATAGTGTGCTTTCTCCTTTTTAAACAGTTGGTTTTACTGTAGTTGAAGTACCTTAAATATGCTTATAATAGCTTTTAGCAAGATCATCTTAGCTTCCCTAACAATGGTGCAATAAACGGAATGTGTTTAATGGAACTGTTAGGTGTTGTGACGGCGGGTTTTAGATGTGGGGTGTGGCTGGTGAAGTATTTGGATATTGGATGGGACAGTTGGAGATTAGAGAGCATCGGAGAGCAGAACGATGTTGACGCGGACTGCTGAAGTGTATTTGCATTAGACAGGACAGTAGGAGATTAAGCTGCAGGCCTGTTGATGTTCGTTGGGCGTCTGTATGTCTATCTGGGTCAGCACCACTGTTGTTCTGACTGTTCTGTGTCCTTTCAGGGTCGTCTGCCCGTCAAATGGATGGCACCAGAAGCACTGTTCGACCGCGTCTACACGCACCAGAGCGATGTGTGAGTTTACATTGCCATGCATACCTCTTCTTTTTTCCTCCATCACTTCATGCCATCTGTTCATAACGTTCATCAAGCGGTAAAGGAATGCAAGTGAACACCATAACCCTGCAACAATAGCATCAAAGCCATCCAAGAGAGTGTGCCAGTGTTTCCTACACTGGAATTCACTGGTGATGTTCAGAGATGTGAAAAAAACATATTTGACCTAAGTTAAAAAGAGAGAAATAAAACAAAGACAACACATCTTTCTGTTCTTTTGCAGGCTGCACTCAACAATAAACATACAGCATGACTAGTGTAGTCTAATTCACAAAAAATCATGTAATGAATCAGCATAAATATGTTATTACATAAATATAAATGTGTGTGTGTGTGTATATATATATATATATATATATATATATATATTACAAAAATCTGAATTGTATAGGAAACATTGGTGTTTGTGCTAGTCTATCGTTCAGAAATTAGGGAAAGTTATGATCTTAAGGCTGCATTTATTTGAGCAAAAATACAGTAGAAACATCAATATTGTAAAATAACATTACAATTTAAAGTAACTGTTTTCAATTTAAATATATTATAAAATGTAATTTATTCCTGTGATGCAAAGCTGAATTTTCAGCATAATTACTTCAGTCTTCAGTGTCACATGATCCTTCAGAAGTCATCATAATGTGTTCATTTAGTGATAAAGAAACATTTCTTACTATTATCAATGTTATTATTATTATTATTATTATTATTATTATCTTATTATCAGTGAAAACAGTTGTGCTGCTTAATATTTTTGTGATATATTTTTTTCAGGAGTCTTTGATGAACGGAAAGTTCAGAAGAACAGCATTTATTTATAATAGAAACCTTCTGTAACATTATAGATGTCTTTGCTGTCACTTTTGATCAATTGAATGCATCCTTAAATAGATTAATAAATGTGTTCAATAAAAAAAAAAAAAAATCTCACTGGCCCCAAGCTTTTGAACGGTAGTGTGTGTGTCTGTGTTTGCACAGCAGGTTTTGATTAGTATGTTAGTATACTACACACTGTCTCTCAGTAGACCGAACACCCATTCATCACACTCAGACTGGTACCCGGAGCTGCACTTTCCAATATGTCTAAATACTCTTTAATCACAGCTGGCCTGAGACAGCAGTAATAGAATAATATAATTTGCCTCTGCCTATAGGCTGTACTTATGCTATGATATATGAGCAGTGAGCCCTTCATTCACTCGATCTGCTCTGTATGTGTGTGAGTTTATGTGCGCACCATGCTGATGGGCGTAAATGAGATTTGACTCCAACATAAAGCTAATGAATGGATAGTGATATAATGACGAGCCAATTATTCAGCCCCCATAAGGCTTCTAACTGACTGTGTGTGTGTGTGTGTGTTTAGCCGGGTAGCATTAGCTGGCTCATAGCTCCTGTTGTCTCTTAGCGTGGCTAATTTGATTAGCACTGCTCAGTGGTGGTGTGGGAGGAATGGGGCCAAAACAAAAGAGCCCTGAGTTAACAGAGCAGCTTGTGATAACACTCACCCACATACACATATGTGCGCGCACACACTCGCTCTAGTTTAATAGACTCACGTTTCATATCACCAACATACATTATAAGCCTCAGTGAGAACCAACAAAACTCCTCTCTCACATCTGCCAAGTATCTACACCCCAGAGAGAGACAGGCAGACAGATAGTGAGAGTATTGTCACTACTATTTCAAGCACAATCAGCATATATAGGCCTAACAAGCGTTTAGACAGTTCATTTATCATTGAATTGGACTTGTTTTGTACTGTACTGTAAATGTGTGATTGTTCCCTCTTTGCTCTGAACTGTGACCTCTCTTGCATCTCAGGTGGTCTTACGGAGTGTTGTTGTGGGAGATTTTCACACTGGGCGGCTCACCGTACCCAGGTATCCCAGTGGAGGAGCTCTTTAAACTGCTGAAGGAGGGTCATCGGATGGACAAACCTGCAAACTGCACTCATGAACTGTACGCTTTTGATCTTCTTTGCTTTTCATCCAAAAAACTCTTAAGACCTTCTTATTCTTCTCTTAAAATAAAGCTGTAAAATAGGGCTGAACGATTAATACCCAGTGTTGGGAAGGTTACTTTGGAAATGTAATAGGTTACAGATTACAAGTTACCCTACTTAAAATGTAATAAGTAGTGTAACTTTTTAATTACTTTATTAAAGTAATGTAACTGATTACATTTAATTACTTTTTGATTACTTTTCTAAATTTCTAATGTTTTCAACTGTTAATCATTTTCAAACATGTAAACCAGGCAGGGTTAAACTTACAATATGTGCTCAACACTGATAACTCTCAGACTTTCGAAATCCTTCATCACTTGAATTATACAATTACTTTTATTTTGTAATTAAATTACGTAATTCCATTACATGTAACTAGTTACTCCCCAACACTGTTAATACCAATATGGTTTAGTGCGATTATTAAATCACAAAAGCTACAATTTAGTTTAATATAAAAAAGAGAAGAAACAAATAAATAAAACTCCATGGTTTAATGTTTCAAAATGAAGAAATTAAGGTAGCCAAAAACATTTAGTATTGTATGTTGTGTATATAGTATTGTGTGTGTGTGTGTGTGTATATATATATATATATATATATATATTTACAATACTATAGAGAGAGAGAGAGAGCTCAAATACTCCTTTATTTTACAGTGAAATAATATTATTACAATTGTAAAAAATATTTTTTGTTTATTTATTTATAATAGTAACATAAAATAACACACACACAAAAAAAACATTTTTTGGACAAATTGCAGTCTGACAAACAAGCAAACCTGAACTCAAAAAGAAAATGCATTTTATTTTTATCAGAAACGTCACAATTCAATATTTGCTGCCTTCATGTCCTAATTACTGTACTTTGTAATTACTAGACGACAATCCAGACGTTCTATTCGAAAACTATTCACATCCTCAAACTCAAAATGATGTTTATATGGCCGTTAATCTGTGTAATTTGAGTAATCAATAGACAAACCCACAATAAAACAAGTAACATCTGTTGTGCAAATGCCTAAGCTAGTTTATTTAGCAGGACATTAGTTATCCAACTGTATTCTTTATCGTTTACTTTCAGATTATTCTTGCATTATTAATATATCAACAATAGTCATTTATAGGAATTAAACAAAATATTACAAGATAAACTACATTTACCTGATGCTGGCATCATTTAGTTTTTTTTTTTGTGCATGTGCTCCCGGAAAAGTCAGTTTACGAGTTTTTAAAAGTAATTACAAAACTGCTTTTTACAAGTCTGAATCTCATAATTACAGTAATTCCAACATGACGTGGATGCACCTATTACTCATTAGTATAAAAATTGTATTTCTGGCATGTATTAAATGCATGTATTGTTTTGTGTTGTGATTTGTGCAGGTACATGATTATGCGGGAGTGTTGGCACGCTGTTCCTTCACAGAGACCCACGTTCAGACAGCTGGTGGAGGATCACGACAGGGTTCTTTCCATGACCTCCACTGATGTAAGAGCTCTTGTTTAGCAAACCAAACCCCTTAACTCTTATTAACCTGAACTCGCCAATTCTGATGTGTGTGTTTCATCCATCAGGAGTATCTGGACCTGTCGGTGCCGTTCGAACAGTATTCCCCTACCTGTCCAGACTCCAACAGCACCTGTTCCTCCGGCGACGACTCTGTGTTTGCTCACGACCCTTTACCTGACGAGCCCTGCCTCCCTAAACATCACCTCCACAGCAATGGGGTCATACGAACATAAGGACCCAGGACAGAAATGGTGGTTTGTGGGGACCTTCCAGTTCGCTGCACTGGACCAGCATGTGGCGGCAGTGCAGACGGGGCTCCTGGTTCAGTGCGGATCTCATGAAACGCTCAACAAGAAGCTTCAGACTTCCAACTGCTCACAGGTCTGAAGGACGGATTACGCCCCTCTCCTTCAGCTCCTTTTCTTCCAAATCATTATTCAGCTTTTTGTCTATGAAAAGAGAATTTCTATTTTTATATTCGGCCAGTTATATATATTTCGCTTTCCCTTTGCAGTCAGAAGGGTCAAACCATTCCGTGCCTACCAAAAAAAAAAACAGACAAATTACTGGACAGGAAACAAAAAGAACGGATCGACACTGTGTTACAGCACGGTTCTGAAGCAACAGAGTCGTCCTGTCACACATGGACAGGAAGTGGTTTTACAGCAATATCTGACTGGAGTGAGAATCATCAAACCCATGGCCAGTCTCTCCTCTCCACTCCTCTCCTCACAAAGAACATTTTTCATCCTTTTTTAATAAGAAAAGAGAGAAAGGTCTCCTAGATGTGAGATATAATTAGAAGATATATAACTGTGTGCTTTGTACGTATCTTGTAGTTTTTATTGTAAATATATAGATATAAATATGTATCATATTGCAGTCGGTAGCAGTGTACTTCAAAAAAAAAAAACTAAAGAAAAAAGAATGACATTTTAAAAGCAAGTGAGCATACACTGTTGAGATCATGTAAACATTTAATCTTAAAAAAGCAAAACAAAAGTTTTATTTTAATTAACATGTATATTTGTAAAGCTATTTATAGACGTAAGGTTTTTAAGGGGGTCTAAAATTATAGTCGAGTTTTGCTGTAAACAAAGGGTTTTTCTTTTCAATTTTGTAAGTTATTTACCACAGAAGTGCAAGATTTCAACCGGTGGGTTGTATTTTATTTTTGCTTGTTTTCTTCCATTTCTTAGTTTACAGTGACAAGAATATATGAGAAGCTAATTGGCGTTATCAGCAGAGCAAAATTATTAAATTATTAATTCTAAACACGAAACAAGTACGCCAGAAGTTGCTTTGCCCGTATCTCAGTATTGAATTTAATGATTCAATACTGAGTATTGTATATTTTAAAAAAAATCTCCATATTTGGGCTTCCATGCATGAGATCTGTTCACCATAGTATTTCAAAAAACAGTGTTGGTTTTCTCTGATTATGAGCGCTGTGGTCTTTTCATCCAGCTCTATGATATGAAGGAGTGCTATGTGGGTAAAACCTGCCATAGCATATAGATATATGGTGAAACCATATTATGAGTTTGTCGCTCTTATTTGCTCTTTTGCTAATGAATATGTATAATAACATTTTGAGTTAATCCTCCGGGTCGGTATGTTTGCAAAGTGCCAAAATCTTTCTCTCTGCTCTGAGTTTTATGTTAATGAGTACAGAACCGTTATTGCTATTCAACTCTAGCATGCATGGTTGTCAGATGAGTGTCTCTGGCCCTGCGAATCTAAGCGAAGCATTATGGGATAGCTTGGTCGTGTCTCAGGGTGTCCTCAGACAATTGCATTCAAGCAGAAAGCCGGCAATAATATATAATGGGGGAAAAAAAGAGGATGATTTGTTTGCTGCTAAACTATGAAAACTGTAGATTTGATAGGAGGTGACTGTACAGGTGCCGAGTGAAGCAGTCGCTCCCTCCTCCTGCAAATCATTGAATTTTTGTACTTGTCAAGTGCCTGGGAGGGAGTTGAGTGGCTGAATATTGCGACGTACGGTTTGAATGTACGGCCACATCAAGAAAAGATATAAGCAGGGTGTTTCTTCGAATGAGAACTGAGTACATATGTGTAAGGCACTTCGTTACTTTAATTCTCAGATTGGGTTCTTAAAGATACGGATGACGTTGTTCTGTAATTTCTTCTTCCAGTTGAGGGACATCATGTTCTGTTGGATACAGTGTTTGAGTGATTGTCCATTACGTGTGGAGTTATGCGTTTACTGTTTGGTGGTGTGGGATGGCAGGGCAAGCGATCGCTCTCAGCTTGGTTTTTTTTTTTTTTACAACCTGTAACCTCTGGCTTTCCTCCGCATCCTCCGCTCTACTACTGACAGCCCTTTTGCATTGTTTCAAACATATAAAACAATGTTGCTGGTCCTTCTCCCTCCTTGTCACAAACCCACATTATTTATTTCCTTGTATTTATGTTTTGTTTTTCTTCATCCGCTTGCTTCCATGACCTTCTCTTATTCATTCCTTCATGCTTGTGTGTTTTGGATGGAGGTAGATCCAAGATGCGTTTAGGGGTTGAAGAAAGTTTTCTTAAATGTTTACAATGAACATCCAGACAGTTTCAAAGGACAATGTGTTTCCCAGCACTTTGGAAGTGGCTGGATGTTGAGCAATACTGGTCTGATGTCGACACTCTTTCATTTTACGCATTTGTTTTTTCCTCTTAAGCTCTATTTGATAGTGCCATTCAGCTCTTATTAGAATTAAGATATTAAATTAAGTTATAGATTTAAATTTGCAAATGATTGTTATATGTCGAGTAGATTTTATATAGGTGTGTTTTTGTTTTGTTTTGTTTTAATAGGGATGAAAGCTTCTTTACAGTATTTTCTTACAGAAGAATTGCATTGCATTCCAGGTAGATTTCTTTCTTTACGCGGTGAGGTAACACGTTTGCAGAATTAAAGGCATTCAGCATTGTCGGCATTGTTAAACCCTCTCTGTTTAACAAAAGAATGGAATAGTTGACTAACAGTGTTTTGTGTTATTTTTTCCATATCTCTGTATCTGTGGAACATTCCGTTCTGTTTCAGTTGTGCCCCTTCCGAGCTCTTTACACTCTATCAGTCTGTGCCTGACGGAATTATGCTGTCAATCAAAACCTTTTCAATAAACACAACAAAACCAGTGCTCGCTTGTCACATTCTTTTTAAATCAATACTGGCCACACTCAGTATTTCAGGTTTATTTAGCCAATAATTATCAAGAGTGGGAGAGAATTTGACTACTGCAGAATACTGATGCGCCGAAATTTCGGTATAGGCAAAAATATTTGAAAGGTTTATTTAGCCAATAATTATCAAGAGTGGGAGAGAATTTGACTACTGCAGAATACTGATGCGCCGAAATTTCGGTATAGGCAAAAATATTTGAAAAAAAAAAAAAAAAAAAAAAAGGGCCAAAATGGGTTTTGAAATTGCTGAAATCGTTATCTGAAACACTGACATTTAAATAGCACTTTTGAAAAAATTGTTCAATAAACTTCATTAAATTAAGGAACACATAATTAGTTTAATACCAGAACAAAAGAAGTTTATTAAACAAATGCCTTTTTCTAACCAACTTAAATTTAAGTTCCTATGTCATACTTGCATGTATGCTAAAGACAATTTATTACACTTAGAAAAAAAAGTTCAAAAGCTGTCACTTTGACAGTACTCTTTTAAAAAGCACTAATATATATACCATACTAATTTGTACACTTTAGGAACAAATCTGTACTTTTAAGGTACTAAAATGCACCTTTTATGGGTAAGTAAGGTACAAGGGTATTGTCCCAGTGACAGCTTTTGTATCTTTTTTCTGAGAGTGTATTGTATACAGCATACAGAATGAGCAAGTAATTGTGTCTTATTTCATTACTGGCATTAAGTACGGTTTTTCCGGTTTGAGTGTAGCTACATCATGGCAGTCATGTTACCAACCGCTTATCAACTAATATCAACCAACTGCTTGATATTGCAAACTGGTGTGTCTTACCATTTTATTTTAATGTATTATCTTAATTATGAACATACTGGTTTGTAGTGCAAACAGTTTTACCGTTTACTGCACTTTTGTTATTCTTCTCGTTATTTCCTTACCGTGGCTAATGAACCGGAAGTCTCGCACATTCACAGAAAACGGCTTGCTTCCGCATTGAAAAATAAGGTGGATACATTTTGTGCACACGTCATGGATAAATTACAACAAATAAACATGTCAACATGTCAGCAGTGTTGAAACACTTCACCGTGACCAAAATTATGCTAGATTAGCACTATGAGTTCAGTTACCCAATTACCCAAACTGAATTACCAAAACTTTACTTTCACTTTTTAGTTTTCAGTCAAATATAGGGCTGCACGATTAATCGCATGCGATATTTAACGCGCATCTTGTCAGAAAGCTGGTTCTGTAATCAGCGGTAAATCTCCATCACCTGCGGGCTTTCACATTGAGCAGCATTAACTACACAGAGCCGTTGTTCACTGATGAGCTGCGCAAAAAATCCCTAGTCAAATAAAAACTTTCATTTAGGTTTAAAAAAAAAAAAAAAAAACGATAACGTGCAGCTATTTAGTCACTAATGCAAAATGAACCCTGACAGCGTGATCAGGATGACCTTATGAGTTACCTCAAAGAAAAAAAAAAAAGTCTATTACAATGTAATACAACAATTTAATATAATAAATCATCATTCATTTACTAGTTAGCATTTTGTGTGTATCTTACTGGTGTGTACATAGAAAAAGTCTTAGATCTTTGAGTTCAGCTCATGAAAAATGGGGGCAAAAACAAAACTGTTGCGTTTATAATTTTGTTCAGTATATATAGAGAGAGATAAAATACTGAAGTCCTCCAAGGCCAATTTATTACAGTCAGTGGTCAAGCTAAGGCATATAATGACACTAATTAACCTGTATGTTGATGTAATAGCAAATTGGTGCCATTAGCAACTTAAGCCGTATTGACAGCATTACGAGTATCACCAAACCAACAATGCCATGACGAATGCTGTCAATAGAGCCTAAGTTGCTAATGACTCCAAACAGCTATTCTAACTGACATTGGTATGAAAAAAGAAACTGCACAAAATCATACAAAAGACATGAAAGTAGCACTGTGATTTTGCTAGGGTGCACGACTCAGCAACTGGCAATTCTAATTGTGGGATCTAATTACTTGAAATTATCACAAAGAAACTGCAGGTATAACACTCACACAGGGCAGGAGAAAGACATTTGTGTAGAATCTACTCTGAAACCATTTTCACTGAGAAATTGCTAGAAAATGTCACAAATA